CCACAACTAGATTTGTGGATTGCTGCCACGACAGGCACCACAGGCCTAAGAGCCACCGCTCCCCACGACCAGGTCATCAAGGGAGTCGGAGAACATGAACCACTCAGTCTCAATGTCTCCAGCCTCCCTTTGGGATCTTGTCAAAGTTATTCCGGAGATGAAAGTTAAAAATACCTTTTAATTGAGGTTAAGACAGACAATCCCTAAGGACCCTCACAATATGTTTGCGCTTGCCGGGTTTGTCTGCCCTCTTCCTCTGCCAGCAGATCCAACTCTCCACCAGGTGGTGATCAGTTAACAGTTGACAGTTGACAGTGTCCAAGACACCCTCATGCTTGAACATGATGTTCATAATGGAGAAACCTTGACTACTACAGAAGCCCAATAGCAGAAGATCACTACAATTCAGATCAGAGAGTTTGTTCCTCCCAATCACACCTCTCCTGGCATAACTGTCGTTACACACATGGGTTTTGAAGTCCCCTAGTACATCAACAGTTGAAGTCCTCAGTTAAAGCACCTTCCAATACCCCTCTCAAGAAGGCAGGGTACTCTGTTTTGACCGTAGGCAGAAACTATTAGTAAGAGACCTATCCCAGACCCAAAGGTGCACCAAAGGCAAACACAGAGTAGAAGATAGTGCAGCCCTTGTCAAGAAGTTGAGTCCCAGAGTCCAAACTGTGTATGGAGGTGAGCCCAACTATCTAGTCGGTACTGTTAAACCCCATGCACAAGCTTACCCACTGAGGTGGCATACCATGTCCCAAAAGCCAGATTCTGTGTCTGACAATCAAGTCTTCGTGGTCCTGACTTTCGACCACCCCCTGTTCCACAACCCCTATAGGCCGGCATATAATGCTACTTTTCAAATTCGATTGTATATAAACTATCAACCTTTTTAGCAATTTATTCAATAATAATGCTTAAATTAATATATAAAAAATAAAGTAAATAAATAAATAGATTGTATGCTTGGATTAAAAATCTGCCGAAATCTGCACACATGGATTCCGTGTGGGCCTAGTCATCAGAAAGAAAAATAAACTCTGTATCTGATTAAATCGTCATCTGTGTGTTTCAACAGTGAAATGGCAGCAGCGGGTGTCTCCTGGGCCGAGGACCAGTTCATGTGTCCAGTGTGTCTGGATCTCCTGAAGAGTCCAGTAACGATTCCCTGTGGACACAGTTACTGCATGAGCTGCATCACAGACTGCTGGAATCAGGAGGAGCAGAAGCGAATCTACAGCTGTCCTTTATGCAAACAGAGCTTCACTCCGAGACCTGCTTTAGCTAAGAATGTGGTGTTTGCTGAAATGGTGGAGAAACTGCAGAAGAGCAGACTCCAGACGGCTGCTCCTGCTTCTGTTCACACTGGATCTGGAGATGTGGAGTGCGACGCCTGCACTGGAAATAAGCAGAAAGCTGTGAAGTCCTGTCAGGAGTGTAGAAACTCTTATTGTCCAGATCACCTCCAACATCACGAGAGTCTCTTCAGAGGTCGAGGACACAATCTGATGGAGGCCACTGGACGACTGCAGGAGATGATCTGCCCTCAGCATAATAAAGTGATGGAGATTTACTGCCGCACCGACCAGCGCTGCATCTGTATGCTGTGTTTGGTGGATGGACACAAACATCACGACACTGTGACAATCGCAGTTGCAAGAACAGAGAAACAGGTACAGTACTGAATCTCAAGCAGCAATGGTTTCTCTTCCCATTTGTGATATTTCTTTCAGTCAGGGAACCTTTAATTTATTTTGTTTTGTTTATGTGTTTTACATTAGAGTGTGTGCACATCTGCATCATGCTGATTAAACATCTCCATTTGTATGTTAAATAGATGTAGCTACTTTATGTACAGTTTTTAGATGTTTATCAGTTAAAATGTTCGCACAGCAAACCTTCTTTGTACAGAGCAGATGTTTTCCATACCAAATGCTCTATACATCTTGCAGATATACGATACATGTGCTATAGGGGAAATGGTCAGGTTTGAGAGAAGTTTTTGAGTTCCTGTGATTGCAAATAAAGGAAAGCAAAGCAGTTGCCGCTTTTGGTGGGTTCACACAATAAATGTGAATTTATGTTATCACGTGAGTAGGTTTCTGCATAAGTCAATGCAAACTTGCCAATAAAAGCAAAATTGAAACAGGAGGCCATGAACACACAGTATTTTGGTATCAATTGTATCAAACATAGCTAAAAATTCATCCTGCAAAATGTATTCAGACCCTTTTAAATCTCCTTGGCTATTGCATAGGGGTGTCAAAATTAATTGTTTCTTCGGTGCACCGTGATGCAGACGCGGACAATTCTGTATCGGTTCAGTAATAATCATAACCGGTTATTATGTACTGACGTCATTTATCTCCGATGCTCTCTGTCGTGAGACCCTGTGGCATAGGCACCATAGGCAAATGCTAAGGGCGCTGTACATTCAGGGGGGCGCCAGAAATGAGCGCGGTTCACTTGGTTTTGTTTTCGATATTTCTGACACACATTCAGTTATAAACGGCAATAACTTAAAAACCTCTTACCCTAAAAATATCTAAAGTGTGTTTCCTACAAAAAGACAAAGCTGGTTATGTTTCACAGCTGTCGTTCTTTTTTTTTTTCGCTCGACATTACGAGCACTGCTCCGTTTAAGCCTTTACAATATGTGTTTAGCCGGCAGAGCTCGCGCTGAGAGGAGCTCTAAGTAAGGGACCGTCGGAACAGTGCTTATTTTTTTCGTTTTTCTCGTTTTTCCACTCCGCTCAGTTTAAGCTCTCCCTGTTGTGAGGGCTTAAGTGTGTGTGTGTGTGTGTGTTTGTTTGTTTGGTGCTGTCTATGTTTGTGTATGTGTTTGAATGAGAGACGGTGTGGTGCTGTGTGTGTGTCTCTGTGTGTTTATACAGACAGCTTGTTATAGCCTCTCCTCTAAAATATAACACTGTATATAGTAAGCATTGTCAATGAACCGTGAGATATCGAATTGAACCGAATCGAAGGCATGATAATCGTAACCAAACCGAATCATGAGACCAGTATAGGTTCACACCTCTACTATGGCAACACATTTCCGAAAGAGCATAGACTGATTCACGCGGCCGCCATTTTTAAAAGCGAAGTCGAGGCTGCAGTGGGAAAAAACCCAGAAAAATTGTTTAGAGTTGCATAGGAACGTTGTGTACTTTATCTGTATATCTTATCAGCGAAGAGAACGTGACACAAATGTATTATTCCACTTCTTTCCGAGTGACGCGAAGGTCCGTTCTGAATGAATGGTGAAAATAAAAAGGGATATCAGAGCTCATTTTCAGCTATGTTAAGGGAAATGGCACTAGTTAGCTAACGTTTTCTTTTCCAAACACATGTTTTAGATGCCATTAATCAAACTCAAGCTAATGAACTGATTCTTTCACTATATTAGACTCATCAAGATACTGAATTAAAAGAAAAACAGTCATTTTCGCGCTAACATTTAAGGCAATGTTGATGGCTTTCTTAAAACAGCGCTGATTTGCCATTGTGTTCACATGCTCAACAGAAATGCTTGTTATTGGCCGAGAAGGTCATCAGTTCACCCACTGCTGTTTACCGAGTACAAACACAGACAAGCTGAGCGATCTGGGTGAAGAGCGGTAAACTGAGTGCAAACCAAACACAGATACACGGAGACTAAAGCGCGAAGCCGTGAAGATCAGTCGAGTCATCCAAGCTCAGCGGTGCTTCAATGTTAGCGGGAAATAGCCGGTTTTAAAACTTCAGTACAGGGACAACACTATTACAGACAACACGAGGGTGTGCTGCAGAGGACTGCAGTGTTTTATCACTCACCGGGTTACATAGGCTGAAGCAGGAAAGCGTCTACACGGTGTTTAACTGGTGCCATGAACTGAAGCCTTGGAGGACACTTGAGCATATTACTCCTACGGAAATTGTGATGTTGTTTGATGCCTAATTTGCTTTTAATTGTTTAAATTAAACTTACTGAATGATATTAGTTCCTTACATTTTTTTTTATATAGCGCTTTTCTGGGCACTCAAAGCGCTTTACATAGTGGGGGGGATCTCCTCATCCACCACCAGTGTGCAGCATCCACCTGGATGACGCGACGGCAGCCATTTTGCGTCAGACCGCACACCACACACCAGCTGATTGGTGGAGAGGAGACAGTGATGCAGCCAATTGAATATGGTGATGTTTAGGTGGCCATGATGGATGAAGGCAAGTGGGCAGATTTGGCCAGGATGCCGGCGTTAAACCCCTACTCTTTTCGAAGGACATCCTGAGATTTTTAATGACTACAGAGAGTCGGGACCTCGGTTTAACGTCTCATCCAAAAGACGGCGCTCACTGAGCAGTATAGCGTCCCTGTCATTATACTGGGGCATTAGGACCCACACAGACCGCAGGTTGGGCACCCCCTGCTGGCCTCACTAACACCACTTCCGGCAGCAACCTAGCTTTCCCATGTGGTCTCCCATCCAGGTACTGACCAGGCGCAGCCCTGCTTAGCTTCAGTGGGCGACCATGTGAGAGTTGCAGAGAGCTAGCTGCCGGTTAGTAATGTTTACACCATTTCTGCATTTTGAAATCTCGTCAGCAGCTGGAGGTTTGTAGTCCACAGCATGTTGCTGCAGTGTTTACAGTGCTGGTCGTACACTTCCGGGTTTCTTCCCACCGCAGCCTCGCTTTGATTCTATAAATTGGTGGCCGCATGAAATAAGCGTATTGAACACTGAGACCCAATATCTATTAGAATAATATTTCACCATGTTATAATTTTACTACATTTTTCAAATTAAATCATCAGTAAACCATTTATTCTTATTTATTCTCTGTTTTCAGAGACAATTTGAGGAAGCGCAGAGAAACATCCAGAAACAAATCTTGGAGAAAAAGAAAGATCTAAAGCAGATGAGAGACGCCATGGAGTCTCATAAGGTGAGAATTCTGCATTTTCCTTTTTTATGGATATGACAGATGAGGCAAGGCAGTTGCGCAGTAGGTA